CCCCCCCTGACATGCACTTCTTCTTCTTCTGCCATTTATTATAACACAATGTATAATATAACCTATAATAATGGTCACATTATATATTGTGTGTGGGGTTTTTGTTGTTGTTTTAGTTTCTAAATATATCCCTTCATGTAAATCTGAACCATTTACAATAATCTGCCACGTGAACTGGCACATTCGAAGTGTAGACTCCTAACCTCCTGGGATAGAAGGCAGCGTGTAATAATAAACTATGGCAGTATTGATAGTAGCAGTTGCGCGGCGATGGGGAACCGAAGAAGAAGAAAAGTAAAACATCGGAGGAAAGCTACAGTGACGTCGATCATAAAGCGGTGGGTTCCTCTACTATGGTATTGGCAGGTTATGTTCCACCTGAAAGCAAACCAGCTTAAGGCTAAACGTCAGGCAAACCACTAAACACGCAAATGAAACAAACATTGGGGAGGTGCGTTACCTGCTGAGGGATTGGTCTTTCGGTCCATCCAGTCCTGTGATTTGCACAGCTATGCAGCACAGCACAGTACAGCACTGTCCGGCAGGCCAGAATACCTGGTTTTGTTCTGCTGAAATTCACATACAGTTCTTGCTTCTCCCCCAGCCTGTGACTAGGCAGTGAAAAGAGAAGCAGCAGACGGATGAGCTCACCTCTCAGTCACTCTAACTCTCTCTCCTCCTATCAGCATGTCCCTTGTTAGCACATGACCTGTGCCGCACAACTTACCGGCTTCTCGTGCTGCTTCTCTCTCTCCTATTCTGAGTTCTGCTATAAAAAGAATTGCAAGGGGCTGATGCCAAGTTATATTCGGAGCTCATCTCTGTGTCACTCTGCTCTCTCCTCTTATCAGAATGCTCATTGATGGCACATGAACACTGTGGCACAAGGTATTGGCTTCTTGTGCTGCTTCTCCTACCCCCGTCTGAGCTCTGCTGCATAGGGACTGCAGGAGGCTAAACTAAGTCAAATCCAGGTACTTAGACTGGTACCCGCCCCCAGTAAACCCCTGAACCTATGGCAGTGTGGGCAGCAACTACATCATATGGCCCTCCCCACCAACTACAGATCCCTTGTTCTTAGATGGTTGAATTCAGGGGCCTAACCACAGATCGCTGGGCCCCATAGCAAAATTCTAATTGGGCCCCATGGAAAACCCCAGGTAGCAGGAGAGCTCTCTATATAGAGTCTCTTCCTGTACATCTGATATCAACTCTTCTTGATTGGAAATGCCACAGAGTCAACAGCTACTTCAGCAATCCTTCATTGGGCCCCCTTCCACCCCCCAGGCCCCATAGCAGCCGCATGGGCTGCTATGGCTACTGTTACGCCCCTGGTCGAATTGCTTGGACCTTGAGTCAAATATTTCCTGTTCTAAGATGTTCTTTTTGTTGTAAAATGTGATCTGTGTTGGAGGTAAAGTCTAAAAAAACATCATGTTTTGGTTTCCCAGGTTAAAATGCACTGTAAAAAGATGGTCTGCCCTCAAAACAAGCTGGTGTCCAAACTGGCGCGGAAGGTTTCTCAGCTGAAGACCAAGGCACTGGCATCCAGCGCTGGCGCTTTTCACCGCAAGGAGGCCCTTTCCCCCAGCAAGTTGCAGAAGAAGCTTCCGCACCATAAAGGGTCCTGTCTGAAGGTCAAGGAAGGAGCGGAGCGGAAGGGGCAGGAGAGGTCGGGGGTCAGCTCGGAAGGGGCTGCTGAAGCAGGTGGGTAGATTGTAATATTAATGAACGTGGAGATGGCATTGGGTTCAATAAATCATTATTGGTCTGAGATGACACATAACGTGTAGCCATTAGCAACCAATCAGACTCTTGAAGCATTATGGGAGAACTTGGTGGGGGTTGTTATCAACAAGTTGATCGTCAAGATGTTGCCAGGACTCTCCATGACCTTTTTGGCTTTTTTTTTTTCTCCGCAGATGAGGACCACGATGAGGACTCGGACAGTGACGAAGGGGAGCAGGACCTTCCCGGGCATTCCAGCCACGATTCCAGCTTGTCCATGAGCACTCCTGGTAACTCTTCGCTGGTGGGTCCTTCAGCCTCTGCGGTGGTGAAGATGGAGGCCAACCAAAAGGCCAAGAAGAAGATAGAGCGGCAAGGACTACTAGGTGAGACTTTAACTGGTTCTGCCACAATCATGCAGATTTCTCCACTTGCAGCATTGCAAACCCCATAACACATTGCAGAATAATTCCTGAGGTCAGACTAAGAGCAACCTGTTCTGTTCAATGTGGTCCTATTGGGGTGGGCTCGAATGTGAAGATGGAAGTGAGCTAGATACCTAAATGTAACCCAGATATGTTTATTTTAGAAGGTTAACTACACTATAAGGCCGAAAGTACATATGATGGAGTTCAGGTGTCTCCAGTGAAGGTTCTGTTAATACTCCATTATACAAAGACATTGTAGACACCAGACCATCACACCAACCACATGGCACATAGTATGTGGACCCCTCTTCATAATGATGGAGTTCAGGGGTCTCCAGTGAAGGTTCTGGTAATCCTCCATCATACAAAGACATTGTAGACAATTGTGCTCTTCCAGTCTTGTGGTCACAGTTTGAAGACCCTTTTCTGTTCCACCATGGTGGAACAGTGTACAAAGCCAGCTCCATAAAGACATGGTGTGACCAGCTTGGTGGGGGAAACTTCAGTGTGCACAGAGCCGTGACCTCAACCCTACTGCAGGCTTTTGGTATGAATTGGAACGTTGATTGTGAGCCCGGTCTTCTCATCCAGCATCAGGACCTGACCTCACAAATAGGCACAAATACCCAGAGAGACCCTCCAACATCTTTGTGAAAAGCTTTCCTAAAAAAATTGAGCATGGTATAGCCACAAAGGGGGGGGGGGGGGGTAACTCCATATTAATGGCCATGGGGGACAGTGGTAACTCCATATTAATGGCCATGGGGGACAGTGGTAACTCCATATTAATGGCCATGGGGGACAGTGGTAACTCCATATTAATGGCCATGGGGGACAGTGGTAACTCCATATTAATGGCCATGGGGGACAGTGGTAACTCCATATTAATGGCCATGGGGGACAGTGGTAACTCCATATTAATGGCCATGGGGGACAGTGGTAACTCCATATTAATGGCCATGGGGGACAGTGGTAACTCCATATTAATGGCCATGGGGGACAGTGGTAACTCCATATTAATGGCCATGGGGGACAGTGGTAACTCCATATTAATGGCCATGGGGGACAGTGGTAACTCCATATTAATGGCCATGGGGGACAGTGGTAACTCCATATTAATGGCCATGGGGGACAGTGGTAACTCCATATTAATGGCCATGGGGGACAGTGGTAACTCCATATTAATGGCCATGGGGGACAGTGGTAACTCCATATTAATGGCCATGGGGGACAGTGGTAACTCCATATTAATGGCCATGGGGGACAGTGGTAACTCCATATTAATGGCCATGGGGGACAGGGGTGACTCCATATTAATGGCCATGGGGGACAGTGGTAACTCCATATTAATGGCCATGGGGGACAGTGGTAACTCCATATTAATGGCCATGGGGGACAGTGGTAACTCCATATTAATGGCCATGGGGGACAGTGGTAACTCCATATTAATGGCTATGGGGGACAGTGGTAACTCCATATTAATGGCCATGGGGGGGACAGTGGCAACTCCATATTAATGGCCATGGGGGACAGTGGCAACTCCATATCTATAGCCATGGGGGAAAAT